CTAGACTCTGAAGGGGCAGATTCATCCTGATTTGGGTGGAGGCAGTGTGTGTGGGATGATGACTTCCACAGATAAGGAGCCTCGTCACCATCTGGAGCCCTCTCACACTGGGGAAGCCTTCCGTTTCTGTGTGCAATGCACACCCTCAGGGAACATTTTTCTAACCACATTGCACACGGCTGTAATCTCAACCTGGTGAGCCTGAAGCAAAATTCTTGCAAGGAAGAAGAGGCCAGCCTGAGCTACACAGCAAGTTTCTACCTTAATTTAGAGGAAAGTGTGCAGTGTATATCCATCTTTACTTTCATGGTTTTTGAAATTTTCCTGTTGATCCTAATACGGCGGGTTGTGCTCTTTGGCTTAATTATCTCTGCAATTAACATCATTTCAGTTACCAAGGAGGCTGAGGTCTGAAAGGGATAAAGATCAAAGTCTCCTCCCCACGTGGAGTCTGAGAAGCCCCAAGCAGAACTGGAAAAACCCAGGGGAGCTGGATTTCCCACCCCAAAGTCTCCTCCAAATAAGCCCTCCTGAGGAACTAGAGCAGGGCTGGGCAGAGAGTCAGAGAATGAAAGGGAAGCTGGAGATGCCTCTGCACTGGGAACATGTTCCGTGAGGATGGACAGCACAGGTCTGCCTCCCCACCAACAGCTGCTCCCCCTTTCCTGTGTGCCAGAGATGAAGCTCGGTGTGCCTCACCTGAGCGGTTCCTGTAGGGTGGGAGCCCACCATTCAAGCCCATGTCTCTGCACTGGTGTTAAACCTCTCACCTCAGTCCCTTATCCCAAACCACACACAGAAAAGCAGATCAGAAGGAACTCATCAAATCTGATTGCCATTCACACACTTGCTAGGAAAGATCACATGGAGCCAACAGGGTAGAATGGTAGGAAGAACAAATCCAGTTCGGTCCACGTTGCTCTCTCTACAGGTGGAGCAGCGCTGTCCCCACACCAGCCACCGCAGGGGCTCTTGTCAGATGCTGGACTGCCCCAGATGTCCCATCTGCAGACACAGCCCTGGGGACACTGGGAGCAGTCCACTGGGCAGCAGAAGTAGCAGCCTGAGAAAGAAGAGGAGATGTGAGGCAATGTTTACCCCTCCAGGCCTCACACCAAGGAAGTATTTGTTATTTATTAACTTATGAACAGGGTCTATCATAGCCTACTTTAGACTCGAACTCATCCCTCTGCCTCTACCTCCCAGGTACTGAGATAAATGACATGCCCACAGTACCATGGTCCTTCCTATAAGGAAAATTTAATGAAGCCCAGATGTGAACTTTAGGGTTTACATCCCAATAGAGGTAGGCCACCTGGTCCTGGGACCTAAGGACAGTGAAGGAATCCTGGAGTGGAGCAGAATGGTCTTCGGGGGTCAAAGGACAGCCAATGTCTCCAGAGTCACACACTCGGAACAGCTGTGGCTTCCCTCCCAAGCTCAGCCCCAGCCCCAGATCTCTAAAGCAGGCCTCATTTGCTCTTCCTGCAGGAGGCACACCAGCAGGCTTTGTAGCTGCAGGAGCCTGAGCAGATGCAGGAGCTGCCTGTGGGGTAGAGAAAGATCAGTGAGCTGGAGCCCTCACAGCTGTGCATGTCCAGACCTTGCTCTGTCTCAGATGGAACACACAGAAGCATGCCGCTGGGCCTTTCCATCCTACTGCTGGGAAGCACAGTCATTCTCAGAGGTTTTTCCTACAAGGAAAGAAAGAAAGGTATTCTAGCCACAGTGGGTACAGATGGGTGGTGATGGACAGGAAGGCTGGAGCCTACTCTTTTCTCCCTTGAAATGAGACCCTTGAGAGAAGGAAGGAAGGAGGAATGGAACTCTGCAAGCTCCAAAGTATGGTGAAGCTGCTGAGAGACAGAGACACATACACACAGAGACAGACAGACAGACAGACACAGAGAGAGAGAGAGAGAGAGAGAGAGAGAGAGAGAGAGAGAGAGAGAAACACAGAGACACACACAGAGAGAGACACACATACACACAGAGACAGACAGACAGACAGATCACGAACTAGCAATGGGTTCCTTAGAGAGAGAGAGAACTAACTAGCAACGCATAGTAGCATAGTAAGGAGCCCACTTTATCCAGAAATGAAAATGTGTCCTCTGAAGTTGGTTACCAGCGGCACAGGAGCAATTGGGGTCCATTTCCAATGCAAATGGGTTGAGGTCCCAAGGAATCAGCAAAAAGTCAGGCTTCTGGGAGGCACGTGGAAACCTAGGAGCCTGCCTGCTCACTTTATAGCTAAGGCCCCACTCTGTGTGCAAAGATCGTGCCCAGACCTTGCACCCACACTCAGTAGGCCTGTGGTTGACTAGGCTGTGCAGAATGTACAGAGGACCCACTCTTCAGTTCCCTCATAGGGGAAGGGCAAACAAACTCTTTTATTATCCCATAAAGAAAGTCTCAGATGCAAGAGCCAGGCCAGGATGACAGCAATTTAGGACATGACCCAAGGTCTTCATTCCCCCAGAAGGCACCTCCTCAGCCTTCTATCCACCCTAGGGACTCCCCGGGGATGCACCTGTACCTCTGGGTGCAGCCAACAGGCACCTGACTAGTTCAATGATGTCATGGAGGGGGAGAAGAAGGTGGTGGTGGTGGTGGTGGTGGTGTGTGTGTGGGGGGTATGAAGTCTGGACCTCAGTTTTTGAACTTGAACAAGCCAGACAAGGCAAGGTGGACCTGCCTTCAGGAGCTCCACCAGAAAGCAGGCAGTGGACAAAATGAACCCACTCAGTTCAGAAGTCAAGATGTGACCTCCTCTGACTCAGGCGAAATCTGTGTGGCGGCTGGGAACTGCGCAGCACCCTAAGGCCCATGCCAGGTATCTTATACCAAGCGGGAAGTGCTAAGCAAAATTCGAAGAGGTTAAGACCCCGCAGGGTGGCCTTTTAGGGCAGAAGACTGGCGGCTTCCAAGTCTGCACCGGGCCGGCTGCAACGGCCCCGCCCTCTTCGCAGCACCGGTGAACTCGCGCCCATTGTCACACTACGGGGGTGTGGCTGAGCCGAGCGCAAGCTTCCCGTTGGGCGCAGCCTCCGTGTGCAGAGTGCACCCGGCGGCGGGGGCGTTTCTTCTGCACCCGCCACGGGGCGGCCCCGCGGGAGGCGGGGTTTTGCGCTCAGCTCTAAGCTGCGTGCAGTCACTCAGCGTCTCTTGGACAGTTCTAGCAAATATGTTGGCCATCCCTCCCCCTTAGAGTTCCAGGAACCTAGTCGCGGCTGTCTCCCACCCTTAGCCCTGCACTATGGAGGTTACCATGGTCTTCTCAAAGCCTCTTTACCTCATCTCTGAGCTCAAAGTGCGAGTGAGGGAGACGTATGTTGACCTACGTCACCTTTGCTTCTGCCACATCGCCTGTCTTTGTTCCCACCTCCGTCCTTAGCTCCGTTTCCCTTGTACCCAGTAAGAGGACAGACACAGGGTTTTGTCTCTGTTTTACAATGCAAATGGGTTGGGGTCCAAAGGAACCAGCAAAAAAAAAATCAGGCTTCTGGGAGGCACGTGGAAACCTAGGAACCTGCCTGCTCACTTTATAGCCAAGGCCCCACTCTGTGTGCAAAGATCCGGCCCAGACCTTGCACCCATAACAGATAGAGACAGGCGTGGGTTCTTGGCCTAAGACTTTCCTAGGCTCTCTATAGCCAGTGAGCCCTCCCCAGTCCACTGGGCAGTTTTGACACAAAGCACTTCATTTAGAGTCAGAAGATTATATACGTGGGCAACTTCCTCCAATCCCTGATCACGCTGCTGGAATTTGAAAGAGCAAATTCATCCTGATTTGCAAGGAACTTCCACCCAAGTCATCACAGCAATGGAGGCCCTCCCAGTGAGTGATCTAGTGCTGCTCAGGGTCCATCACTGAGCTCTGTCGGCATCTCTGGGCCAGTGCAGCTCCAGGTGTGTGCTGCACACAGTCACTATCAGTGAGCAGCTGTGTAGAGTGCTTAAATTCGTTTCCCGTGTCTTCATAGATTTATTGTTTTCCTGCTGAATCCTCAAAACGTGGGTTTCGTGCTCTTGGAATTTACTTTTGTGCAAATAGTACCATTTACCAAGCATCAGGATTGAGGTTCACAGAAAATAATAACTGTGGGGGTCAGGTATATGGCTCAATGAGTAAAGTGCTTGCTGCTCAGGCTTGAGGACCCGAGTTTGAATCCCCAGCACCTACATAAAAAGCCAGGAGTGGTGGTACAAGTCTGTAACCCCCAGTGTTGAGCTGAGGGTGGGTGGAGAGAGGTGGGTCACCAGGATTTGATGGCCACCCAGTCTGACAGAAATAAAAGAAGTTCTAAATTCAGCAAAAGATCTTGTCTCAAAAAGTAAGGTAGAGGCTGGGGCGGTGGTGGTGCACGCCTTTAATCCCAGCACTCAGGAGGCAGAGCCAGGCGGATCTCTGAGTTCGAGGCCAACCTGGTCTACAGAGTGAGTTCCAGGACAGGCTCCAAAGCTATCAGAGAAACCGTGTCTCTGGGGGGAAAAAAAAGGTGGAATGTGATAGAGGATTCCCAATGTCAATCTCAGGCTTTCATATTCAACACACACACACACACACACACACACACACACACACACACACAGACCTAACCCGGCTCACAACTGCAGTCTTCCATTAAGAGGAAACCCATAATGTAATTCAACTTTGCCCTAAGATACTTCCCCTTCTTTTGGGGCTGGAGGTGTAGAGATAGAGGGACTAATTAGTACAGAACCAGATCCCCAAACTATCAAGTCAATCGGTCACCCAGTATTTTTCTTTTTTTTCTTCGAGACAGGGTTTCTCTGTGTGGCTTTGGAGCCTGTCCTGGAACTCACTGTGTAGCCCTGGCTGTCCTGGAACTCAGAGATCCGCCTGCCTCTGCCTCCCAAGTGGTGGGATTAAAGGTGTGTACCACCACCACCACCACCACCACCACCACCACCACCACCATCACCATCACCTGGCCCAGTTCCTTATTTCTAAGTCACACAAAGAAAACCAGAGGTAGAATCAAAATGGCTTTTTATTCACATCTTTTGTAGAAAAGGGGGTTTAGTAAACAGGAGAGAGCCGCATGAAAAACTCTGGGTTGGTCCATACTATTTACACGTGGGAGGGGGCACTGTCCTCACATCAGGCACAGCACGAGCACTTGTCCGATGCCCCTTTGCAGACACAGCCCTGGGCACACTTGGAGCATCCCACGGGGCAGCAAGAGCAGCAGCCTGTTAACAGGGGAGGAGAGGAAGAGGTGAGAGCTGGCTGAAGACCTCTTTCTTGTCCCCAACAAGAAGGGGGCTGTCTTAGAACAGCTCTGGCCTGAGACAATACAACAGCCCTGGGAGCTGTAGTGCGTGGAGAAAGCTGAACTGCCTCGGAAGCAAAGGGCATTCCTCAGAGCCAGCTCTGTGAGTGCTCCCGCCTAAGCGTAGCCACCACCCGAGGTATCCTTCCCTACTCACTCTTCTTGCAGGAGGTGCACTTGCAGTTTTTGCAGCCGCAGGAGCTGGAGCAGGTGCAGGGGCTGCCTGTGGATGAGAAAGGAGACAGCAGTGGGTGGAGAGAAATGCAGGATCACAGCGGCGGCGGGGGAGGGAAGGCAATTCCACGTGCCCCGCTAAGTTCACTAAATCCCACTCCGGACTCCAGGAAGCCTGGCCCCACTTCTCACCGAGTAGGGTAGGGCTTGCGTTTTTGATGCCCAAAACACAACGGTCCCTCACCTCTCTCCTCGTCTAGGCAATTCATAAGTTTAATATAATGCCTGGGGCTCAACCCAGATGTCCCCACTACCTGACCGACAAAGGAGCCGTTCGGACAGTGTTAATACTTGAAGAATAGATAGTTAAAGGTTAAGGAGACGCTAAAATAAACCCTAGAATGAATCTCCAACTAAAGGCGCGATCCCCCGCCGAGACCCTAGACTACATCCTCTACAGCTGCCGGAATCCGCTCTGCGGTTCTTACCGGGTATTCTAAAGACCAAGAACCGGGCGTCTCTTACCGGTGGAGCAGGAGCAGTTGGGGTCCATTCCGAGATCTGGTGAAGCTGGAGCTACAGAGCAAGGGTCGAGAAGACAGTCAGGCTTCTGGAAGTCGCGATGATGCCTAGCGGGCGGTCTGCTCTCTTTATAGTCGTGGGACCGACCGGTCCGGGCGCAGAGTTTGCACTCAGCAAGCGGTTGCTCTTGCCCTCGCTGAGTCACGCGCCTCGCCTCCTTGGCAGAGCCGAGCGCACCCTTCGGGCGGGGTGCAGAACTCCCTAGGGCGCTGGAGTGCACAGCGGGACCGCCCCTTTGGCGCCGCTTGCCCCGGGAAGGAGGACCTGTGCGACAGTGTGGTACATCGTGTCCCTGTAGTGCTTTCCCTGAGATTACAGCCCATCATTACTCCGGTGCATTACGAGAACTCACCCCGGGGCCCCCGACTGTCTCCCTAAATCCATCCGAGGCTCCTGCTCTCAGCTTCTCCTTTCCCGGAGTTCCTGGGCAGCCGCCAGCCGGGTCATCACGTCTCTGAATTGAAGCTAGCAGAAGCAAAGGAGACAGTTTTGTAAAAAGACAAGCCTTGATCATGAACTTTCCCAGTCCTCATTGTCCATTTGTCCCATCACAATCCTTGGGACTCTTCCTCCTGGACACAGCACCAGGGCCAAACGCGTCTCATCTTAACACCTTCATTCTCGGCTCCTGAGAAGTCTAGGCACATTGTCGGGGGCTGGGTATCGCACACCTTACTTACCCTATCTGCTCCACTCCAGGGTAGCGGTTTTAAAAACTGGGGATGCCTTCCTTCCAGTGGGATCATTTTAAGTGGTATGCAGGGGCTACATTAGATTAAAAAGCGATAGAAGTCGCGATTTATTTATTTATTTATTATTTATTTATTTAATTGCTGGTTTGCTTGTATGTATGTCTGTGTGAGAGTGTCAGATCCCCTGGAACTGTAGTTACAGACAGTTGTGAGCTGCCATATGGTGTGGGAATTGAACCTGGGTCCTCTGAAAGAACAGCCAGTGCTCTTAACCTTTGAAGCCATCTCTCCAGCCCCTGTCGCGATTTATTTTTATAACGTTCCTGACTTTTGAGTAACTTTAGATTCTGCTCTCAGGCCCTGTTTAATTAAGTTCAAGCATACCCAGTCTGGCATCTATCATTTGCAAATATATAAATAAGTATCCCATCTGCCGCGTGTAATTATGAAATGGCAATAGCTAAAATTATGGACCACTTGCATGTCTCAACACATGGTCTAGGAGACTAAAGTGTAATGCTCTCACCTGTTACCTGCGCCACTGTGCACATGAAGGGGGGTTACCTAACTCCAGCATCAAGGCAGTAGCGGGAGGCGCAGCAGGCTATAAATCAGCTGCCTTCACAGTTTCCTATCTCTCTATCGAAGAGCAAAACTGTTTCTGAAAGCCTATCCAGCCAGCCACTTCCCAAGGCAGTCAGGGCCTGGAGTGGAATGGCATCGTGTTCTGCCCACGAGAGGACAGCTATCGCTTTAGTTCCTATATCCCATGACTTCTGAGCCATATGACCTTGGGCAGGTTGTTAATGGCTCTAAAACCACCAGCCCCTCTGCAAATCCACTGTTTGTATTTTAAAAAAAATCATATCAAAAATGAAAGTTGTTCATTTCTTCACACACAGTGGGACAAGGCTTGTTTTGTTTTGTTTTTGCTTTTGCTTTTCGAGACAGGGTTTCTCTGTAGTTTTGGTGCCTGCCCTGGATCTCTCTCTGTAGACCAGGCTGGCCTCAAACTCACAGAGATCCACCTGGCCCTGCCTCCTGAGTGCTGGGATCAAAGGCGTAGGCCACCACCACCACCGCCGCCGCCAGGCTGGGGCAAGGCTTTGTGTTAGAGGATATCCACGAAACCTTGAACAGATTGGTAAGGCTTTGTTGTTGTTTGTTTTGTGATAGAGTCTTGCTATGTCACCCAGGCTAAACTTGAAATCCTCCTGCCTCAGGCATGTGTTATTAAACTCTGGCTATGAGTGAAATATGGCTGTTATGCCAGATCCAGGAGTAAGACCAATTTCTCATGTGATACCTATTTAGAGATGCAAATTCTGTTTACACACACAGAAAGGGGGTTCGGGGAGGTTCAGTGACTTGCCCAGGCCACACAGCCAGTCAGTGCGATGGGCTGTGAACCAGCACTGCCTGACACCGACATCCATGTGCTCGTCACAAGTCCTCTGATGCTGTAGGCAGGGAAGGTGCTGAGTCCTGGGCCATGGGACTCTTCTTCCCCTTGGTGGTTTAGACACAGTGTCCTTCCATTAGCAAAGAGCCAAGAGACGACCGTCCACTGGTTATGCACCACCCAGGGCATCGCTCCTTCTTCATGACACTTCAGCTAGGAAATGACACAGTAATATCCTCTGTGTAGGAAGAGCCAAAGAACTTCATCTGGAACAGAAGTTTTTGTCTATAGGGTTCTTGCCTGAAGCTGGTTCTTTAATCTCAGTTCCTAGGAGGCAGAGGTAGATGATCCCCGTGAGTTCAATGCCAGTCCGGGCTACACAAATGAGATCCTATCCCAAAAATAAATAAATAAATAAAGATAAAAAATTAAAAATAGAGCTGGACAGTGGTGGTGTACACCTTTAATCCCAGCATTTGGAAGGCAGAAACAGGCGGATCTCTGTGAGTTCGAGGACAACTAGGTCTACAGAGCTAGTTCCAGGACAGCTAGCGCTGTTATACAGAGAAAGCCTGTCTTAAAAAAAAAAAATTAAAAATACAATTTTTGCCTGGATGATGTTGGGCAAATCTGTCCAAACCTGTTGATTTTAGTGGATTGAAGTAGCTAAGGACTGGACTTAAAAAGAGCAGTGGATTTCAGCCTGAATGAGGGACAAATTCCAAGGACTCAAGGGCAAATAGCAAGCAGAGATCCCAGGTCAGAGACATCAGTCAGTGGTCTTTCACGCGAGGACTGCCGGTTCCTAGTGTGCGAGTGTGGACATGAGGCCGAGGCACGGCCTCGCACAAGGGACTCGTGTTTGTAACGCCTGTATTTCCTGTCTGTTGCTTGTTTTCTGGATGCATGCTGAGATTTCTGCTAGACTAAATCCAGGACAAGGCTGAGAGACTGGAGTCAGGAAGGGCATACAGGGACAAAGGAGGCCAGATTCCCAAACTGCACTCAAGGAAGGAATATCCTTAGGAATCAAGTCTGTGCTTGGCTGCCTGGGTACTCTTTGGGACTCAGTTTCCTATTACAGGAGGGAAGAAAAATCAATCATAAAGAATTTGTAGGGAGCTAGCCACTGGACTGTTCTGCCTGTTGAGCAGGATATTTCCTGCTTCCTGATCAACCCTCCGTATCCTGAAGAAGCACCCATGCAGGAGCAGGAGCTGCCTGTGAGGAGAAGAAAGCCAGCTGAGAGCTGAAGACACAGGCAAGGAACGTAGCAGGTGGGTGGAGTGTCGAGGCTAGCCCCGTCCCCCTCGGGGCACATTGACTCCTCTGCTCTTCACACGTGCTAGTATTTGTTTGGGGTCCTTGATCTCGAAGAGGCAACGACCCCTGCCTCCACTTCAGGCAAATAAAATGAGGGTATGAACTATTCTCTGAGGAAGTGCACGCTCGTTACAGTTTCTGAAGACTGCTTGATCTTAGCTAGCTAGAACATCTTGATTTTGGAGAATGGAATGTTGTGGGTGAAGAGCCACATTATCCTGGGCTCTCTTAGGCTCTTTAATGTTTTGGTTTATTTGGAAACAGGGTCCTGTGATCCAACCGTCTCAGCCTCCCATGTGGTGGAATTACAGGCCTTATCTTAATTTTTGTGCGTGACTTGATTTCCTCATGACTGTTAGACGAAACTGTTGGCATGTAGGGTTAAGCTTAGCTGACCTCCAGCCTCCGGTGACTCTGAGGCTAAAATGCTGTGGGTGACACAGTCGGGGAGATTATCCGTGCTCTGCTGTAGCCCACCTGCTTGACGCTACTACTACAATACCAAACGGATTGATTGTGACTTTCTTTAATTCTCTGTCTGAAAGAGCTCCTGTAGCCTCTCACACCATGAAACTCACCATTCCAGACAATGTTCACTTACTGAGTCACGGCCCCTCATATTTGGCTCAGAAAAAAGCTGTCATTTTCTATAAAGCAATATCTTCTGTGTTTGTTGTTGTTTGTTTGAGACAGAGTCTCACTTTGCAGGCTGGTGAAGATGCCCTTGGACTCCTGATCCATGTCCTGAGGCCAGGCCTCAGAGTGCTTATCTTACCCAGACAGTGGGCAGAGGACAGGACGGGTGGGAGGGGGGTGGCAGGACATGGGAACAGCCGGACTCTATTTAGCAGAGCACACAGCTTTGCCTTTTCCTCCATTTTCGAGGCTTGAGGGCATACATAATCAAATTATACATGAAATTCTCCTGTGGATGCCCACAGAATGGTCTGCCTCGCTAGCTGCAGGATCCTAGTTCTGAAATTGAGTATGCCTCCACCTCAGGAAGAATCAATTTAGGTGATATCTTCAAATAAGGAGACAAGGAACTTTTAGACACCCTGAACATACAATACACCACAGTCCCACCCACAGGAAAAGGCAAACCTGTGTGCTCTGCTAAATAGAGTCCGGTCTGTTCCCATGTCCTGCCCACCCCCCTCCCACCCATCCTGTACTCTGTCCACTGTCTGGGTAAGATAAGCTTAAGTCCACTCATGTTCACAGTCACTAGGCCAAGTGAAGAGCAGAGGACATGAGAAGTTAGCCAGGCTTTGGGGTCTGTCAAGAGGCTGAGGCAGCAGCCTGGCCACAGGGGCTTTGTACTCATCATGTGCGTTTCCCTGGTCCACATCAGGAAGGCTCCCTCCGCAGCCTCCATCCCACGGTGTCCTCCCTCACAGTTCTCTGCCAACTCAGGAGCTGGCCAACGTGGGACTCTCTCTCCAGTGTAGCAGTAACGCCCGCGCTACCACCACCGTTCACCATGTCCAAGCGAGGGGCTGAGGATTAAAGAACAGAGACAAGACAGCGGGTCATTCATCTCAGCAGAATGCCGAATGCCGTATGCCGTTTATTGAAGAAGGGAGGAAACCTTAAATACAGGCTTGCAGCACAATGGGAGAACCCCGGAGGGCAGAAGTTCGATACCAATTGGGCAGAAGTTCGCTACGGATGTTTTACATACTTGCATTCTAGCTGTTTACGCCAAATGTAGGATACACAAAGAAAGAACCTCTGGTGAGCATTCAGGAGGAAGGAAACCAGGGAATCAGCATAGGGAGGACATCTGGTCAAAGTCGGCAAGCAGGGCAACAGGGACCCAAAATGGGGGGCCGGGACCCAACATTGCAGCAAGTCCATGTGGATAGAATGCTCCTACTTGCCATATTTATGAAGCCTCAGCCAGGAGCCAGCTCCTCTCTCATTAATACCTAGTTAGAATATTTTCTCCTTCCTGTGAAAGAGGACTTGCAACTGAGTCTGTGGGTTGTTTTCTACGCACTATCATTTACAAGCAGTCGAAGTTTAAGGGGCAGGCAGTGAGTGGAGCAGTGGAGCTCTTCTTGCTCAAGTCCCCTTCATGTCAACGATAAGTTAAGGGTTCTGGGTTTTTACTAGGGTGTGAGCATACATACATTAGTGTTGTGATTAATATGTGCCAGGTGTGAGCTTGACATTAGAGCATTAAATGGGAAGGAGAGGTTTCCAGGGGGGAAGGTGTCTCTTTCTTCCCTAATGTGGGTGTGGTTCAATCTGGCGTGGCACCTGTCTGTGTCCTTTTTCTCATTATAATAAACTTCTAATGAGCCCGAAGCCATTTTGGGTGTCAATGTGTCTGGACCAGCAGAATCTGGTCTGGAGCCTCCCTCCGTGGTGGGAATGTTGACAATGAGGTGCCTGGCAACTGGGAGCATGTGGTGTCATCATCTAGGCTTTAACTGAGTGACAAGGCAACAGGGTATCAGTATTTGGGGGGTTCAATCTGGGGACGTAACCATAGGCTCTGTCAGATGTTCAGTGACTTATGCAGGTCACGTGACCAGTCAGGGGGGAAGTGGGCTGTAAAACTAGGACTTCCTGGCACCAGACACTACGGGCAGCCTTGTAAACGTCTTCTTCACACAGAACGCCTAGAGGCGAGCTTGGTTCCGACTCCCGCCCAAGAAACTCATTTTCCCCTTTGATTGAACACCAGATTTCATTAGCTCAACAAATAACCAGGGGCATTAACCGTTGGTTTTAATTGTGCCATTCAGGACCTTACAGCTTCCTGAAGAGTACCACCCCATCCCCCAGATCGCAGATTCCACCTAGATGCCTTGCTCCTGGGAAGATGCTGGGCAATTCCTTCCAAATTTCTGCTTTGCATTTCTATATTATCAGGGGTTGGAATGAGTGAGGGGCAGTTTCTTTCTGACTCTGAGAGGGACTTCCAAAAATTGGCAACCAACTCATGTCACTGTGCTCTCTGGAAAAAAATGTTCCTGTCAGAGTCCCTATGCACCAGAGATGGTAGGTCCTCAAGGAGGTCCACGCTGGACATGTTGTGCCATTTAGTTTCCCGTCTGCAAGGCACACCCTTGGATATGTAGTGCTTGCAATTTTTTTTTCATGATTTTGTTCATGTTACTTAATTTTTAAAAACAGACTTTGAGCCAAGCCTGTATTTCCAGTATTTATGAGTCTAAGGCAGGACTGCAAGTTCAAGTGTAGTTTGGGCTACACAATAAGATCTTGTCTCAAAATCAAAGGTTACCAAATTTTGAGACCAAAATTTGACTTCAAAGTTTCAGTGATCCTTCTACTTCAGCCTCCTAAATGCTGGGATTAGAAATGGGAGTGCACGCCTTTAATCCCAACACACGGGAGGCACAGCCAGGCTGATCTCTGTGAGTTCAAGGCCAGCCTGGTCTACAGAGCGAGTTTCTTTCTTTCCTTCCTTTTTTTTGATAGGGTTTCTCTGTGTAGCCCTGGCCCTCCTAGAACTCGCTCTGTAGACCAGGCTGTCTCCAAACCTGAACTCCAGAGATTCACCTGCTTCTGCCTCCTGAGTGCTGGGATTAAAGGCGTGCACCACCACCCAGTTCCTCGACTCATACTTTTTATTTATCAAAGTTGTAGGTTCTGTTATTTTGAGTTTTTGTTTTTTGTTTTTTGAGCTGAGGACCGAACCCAGGGCTTTAGCAAGCGCTCAACCACTGAGCTAAAACCCCAACCCAAGTTGTAGGTTCTGGCATTCCATACTTTTTTTTTTCTCCTCTCGAGACAGGGTTTCTCTGTGTAGCTTTAGTGCCTTTCCTGGAACTCACAGAGATCCGGATTAAAGGCGTGCACCACCACTGCTCGGCCATACTTGTCACTTTTAAGCCTAAAACCCAACTGAATTTGGGGAAAGAAACCAGAATAACCGTCATATATCTAGGGGGTAGAGGTGTGTGGCTCATCAGAGCACCTGGTTTAGGATGCAGGGAGCCCCGAGTTTAACCCCGACATACACTTGCACATTGGGATCAGCACATTTCTATGACTAGTGCATCTTCCTGCCCACCACTCCCCGGATGATAAAAGCCGGAGAGGTAATCTGACCAGCCCAAGTCACAGTCTGAGCTCAGAGTTCAAGCCTCTGCAGTTCCATTTCAGCCCCTGCCAGTCCCTTATTGCCAAGGCATACAAAGACAAGCTGAGTTAAGTCAACGCTTTTTATTATCAGTTACATGCTTTCATAGAAAGGTGTGGAGAATAGGCCAGGGTTGTAAAAAAAAATGACGTTTCTACACATTGCTCTATTTACACGCGGCTGAGGAGGTCCCACTTCAGGCGCAGCAGCTGCACTTGTCCGAAGCCTCTTTGCAGATGCATCCCTGGGAGCACTTCGCACAGCCCACCGGGCAACAGGAGCAGCAGCCTAGGGGAGAAGAGTTGACCATGAGGGAAAAAAAGGGACCCCACCTGGATGCTCCCGGGGTGTGGCAGGGAGAACCCGGGTGGCAGGGACTGGATGGGGAGCGTGAAGAGTAGAGAGAGGATCCAACTTACTTTTCTTGCAGGACGTGCATTTGCACTCTTTGCATTTGCAAGACCCAGAGCAGGAGCAGGATCCATCTGCAGGAACAAGACAGTGAGCACGACCCGGTGCATCTAGGAACTCAGGTGCAAATCCCCGACCCAGCTTGGGCGAGCCATTATCTCAAGGACTTGTTAAAAGGGGCTCTTCCAGAATTCGTTGGGAAGGAGCAGCCGGTAGTACTCGGAAAGTACTAGAAAAGGGGCCCAAACAGCTTGTCTGGCTCTCCTAGAAATTTAGGTTGCAGAGGCCGGTCAGCAGTCTCCCTTACCTGTGGCACAGGAGCAGTTAGGGTCCATGGCGAGTGGAGGTGGCGGCTGAAGACCGTTGACAAGCCGGAATTGAAGTGCTAGGAGAAGGTGTGATGGAGAGAAGCGCGTGGAGCGCTGCCTTTATAGCGCGGGAAGGCGTTGGGGGCGAGCGCAAAAGCCCCGCCCGTGTATGTGTGTATGGGGGGCGGGGAGACACCACCTGCACACGCCCCCGCCGCCTGCGCACGTGGAATCTCGCCTGCACACGCCCCGCAGCCTGCGCACGACTCGCAGTCTGCAAGCGTCCCTCTTCCTGCACGCGGGACACCGCCTGCACACGCCCCCGTGCTGAGTCACGCCCCTCTCCGCACGGCGCACGGGCTGAGCGCACAGCGCTGAGCGCAAAGGGTCTGCCCTCGGGTCCCGGGCCGGTTCCTGGAAGCTTGCCCACCCCTGCTTTGCCGCGCCCTGGGGCGCGTGAGGGGCCGGGTGCAGAGGGGGCTGCCCGGTTTCCCCACCGCTCACAGCTTCCCGCCCTTATCGTGTGTGCTAACCTGTATGAAAGCGGGGCTTGGAGACCCTGCTTACAGGAAAACTATGTTGGAAATGTGAACAGGTTACAAAAGCCAGTCCTAGCCCAGACTTGGACACTGTTGGTGAGGTCCTCACTGCGGATCCCGTGCTGCGGGGCACTGAGTTAGAACTCTCATCTTTCCTTACAACGTGGGGAAGGACGGTTCGTTAGTCTCACCGTAGGCGGTGGAAACGGAGGCGCAGTCACGTAGTCACTTGCCCAAAATGAGTGTAGGGTTCGAATCCGCTGAGGCGCCAGTACTTAAGGCAGAGACTAGAGACTGGGAAGACATTTATTCTTGGGGGAAGCCAGGGTGAACAGGGGAAAGTGTTAAAGGTCTCTCTCTCTGCTGGAGGTGGCTTTCAAGAGCACGGGAGCAGTCCAGTCTGGAAGGATACAGACCAGTGCCTTCTGCCTGAGGACAACGGGGTGTTACATGCCAAGCAGGGTGGGCCAGATGGCAGTGTTCTGGAACACGTGGAAGGAAAGCCCCACAAAAACTTCTCCCACCCCCACCCCACGGGTGGATGCTGAGGGAAAGAGTGGAGAGGGCAGCCAGATTTCTCTCCCTGGAGGCACATGGTGTTTCCCCGCTTGCTCAAGCCTGCTGAAATCATACATGAAGTCATGGGAGGGAAGTCTGTGTCATCTAAGGGGCCAGGAAACAGTTACCGGAAGCTTCCTGGCAGGCTCGGGTAGACATTCAGGGAGGCTGTGGGTGGATGGGTGGGTGAAGTGTCCCAGGACAGGCTGTCCTTGCAGCTCTTACTGTAAACTGGGGAAATGCCTTCTTGGCTCAGCACACGCATCGCTTTCTCCTGGATACCTTCCAGCCCCGATGCCCACGGCTGCCCATGGAATGTGTAGTAAACATCCTGTCCTTTCCCTTCCCGCCACTTTCCATGGCTGCACTGTGTTTGAACTTAAGCCTGACTGATATCTGAGCCGCGGTGTTCCCTTCCCAGACTGAGCTCAGAGCAGTCTTTGCCCCTGTTGGACACTCTCCAGCCTCAAGCCAGGATGGAGTTGGTGGTCACCACTTGCTAAATCGGGTAAAATCCTGCATTATTACTCCTGCCCGGTTCCCACTTCCCATTAGGACTCTGATTTTAAAAATGAAAGTAAGCTGAATGTAGTGGCCAGTGTCGTTAATCCCAGCACTCAGGAGGGAGAAGCAAGTCAATTTCTGTGATTTTAAGGCCAGCCTAGTCTACTTGGTGAATTCCAGTCTATTCTTGGGTACTTAATGAGAGTCTGTCTCGGGGTTGGGGATTGGGGATTTAGCTCAGTGGTAGAGCGTGGTAGGCCCTGGGTTCGATTCTCAGCTCAAAAAAAAAAAAAGAGAGAGAGAGAGAGAGAGAGAGAGAGAGAGAGATTCTGTCTCAAAAAACACAAACAGTGAAAAAGAGACTCAAGTTCGGTTGGTGTGGCTACTAATCCTAGCACTCTGGAAGCCCAGGCAGGAGTGTAAAAGCCAGGCTATGCTGGGCTAGACTGTCTCAAAACATAAAATGAGGGCTAGGAATGCAGCTTAGTGGTAGAGTGCTTGCTTAGAAAGTGAGAGACCCTAGATTTAATTCCCAGCATGGCACATTGTGGTGTGTGTGTGTGTGTGTGTGTGTGTGTGTGTGTGTGTGTGTAGAAAAGCTCAAAGTCGCCACCCTGATATCTGTCACTCACGGAAGTGAGAACACCGCAAAGTGGGGAGAGGGGAGCTGTCTGATGGAATTTGGCCCCTCATTTGCCCTTGGGGTACTCCTCCCTCTTCACCTGTCCGTTCCTTCAGCCCTCCGTCTGTCCCAGACACTGCACCGCATGTGTGACCACTACCTCTCAGCTCTATCCCCAGACCTCTGTGTAGTTCTCAACCTCATGGACTTCACTTTGTGGTTACATGATTTCTCTATCACTGCATAATAAATTAACCCACAGCTTCCCAGCTAACTAGAACACACATTTGCTGTCATACATGCAGTTTTTGTTTTGTTTTGTTTTGTTTTCTGTTTATTGTTTTTAGAGACAGGGTTTCTCTGTGTAGCTTTGGAGCCTGTCCTGGATCTCACTTTGTAGACCAGGCTGGCTCTCACGGAGATCCGCCTGCCTCTGCCTCCCGAAGTGCTGGGATTAAAGGCGTGCGCCACCACGCCTGGCTATACATGCAGTTTTTTGTGGGAAGCAGGTATTAGGCTAAGTTTATCTGGGCCCTCTGGCTCAGAGTCTGTCTCAACAGATTGCAAATCCAGGCTCCTGCCCAGCTAACAGTCATCCCAAGGGTGACTTGGAACAAGATCTGCACCCAAGCTCCCTCCTGTGGTGGTAGGCAGTACTTCATTCTTGCCCGCTGTTGTGCTGAGGCCCAGGTTCTATAGTTCACACGCTGAACTATAGAGTTCAAGGTCAGCATGGGCAACTTAGTGAGACTCTGTCTCAAAATAAAAAGTAAACTAAGGGGGCTGGAGAGATGGCTCAGAGGTGAAGAGCACTGGCTGCTCTTCCATAGGTTCCTGAGTTCAATTTCCAGCAACGACATGGTAGCTCACAACCATCTATAATAAGATCTGGTGCCCTCTTCTGGCATATATGCAGGTAGAACACTGCATACATAATTTAAAAATTAAACTAAGTAAATAAATGTATGTATGATGGGGGCCTGGGCTGCTTATCTCTGTGGTTGTCAGCATGCACTGGTCCATTAATACTAGAAAAATATGTGATCCGCGTAGATCCAGCATTATATGATTGCAGGATATGTTGCCCACCCCTCGGGAAAGCACAGTAGTGGGGAGTGGTAGTCTAAAACATTAGATAATTGAGCCGGTCCCAAGGTTGTGAGCATGGGAGAGCTGTCTCCATTACTCATCTGTCACGTGGAGGTGTGGGCAAAGAAAAGATGCTCCCACCCCCATCAATGCCTGAGGCAGGCGGGACAGCTGGCGCTGAGGGCGTAAGAGTGGTGGCGCACGCCTTTAATCCCAGCACTCGGGAGGCAGAGGCAGGTGGATCTCTGTGAGTTCGAGGCCAGCCTGGGCTACAGAGCGAGTTCCAGGATAGGCTCCAGGAGCCACACAAAGAAACCCTGTCTCAATATATATATGCAAGTCATTAGGCTTAACCCCCACAGGGGCCTCTCACAGGCACCCCGGAGCTAGGGATCGCTGGGGCCTTTGTCAGAGTCTGGCTACCTGGGGCAAAGGCAACCGCTTGCTCTTTGATTCCAGGCCTTTTTCCCTCCTGCTCCCTGTGTCTAGAATACTCTTCTCACTAGTCCATTGGTTGGGTCTCAGTCTAAAGGCCATAGCCTGACACTGCACCAGGGGACCTGAGGCAGGAAAATTGTGAGAGTAGGTAATCCCGGGCTTCTCATGGGCTCCAAAAACAAAACAAATACATTGGTCCAGGTGGCTCATCCCTGTAATCTCAGCACTTAGGGAGTAGATGTAGGAGACAGAAGTTCAAAGTCATCTTTGGCTACATAGTGAGTTTGAGGTCAGCCTAGTGTACAAAAGACAGTCTCAGGAAAACCCCCACAACAAACTTGATCAACCCATCAATAAATCAATAAAGGCCACTCCTCAAAAAGTCTTCTGTACTCTAAAATTTGCTGAGTCCCTCTGTTCCCAGCCAGTATATCCCTTCTCCGTACCACTTCATACAGTCACAGCCACTGGTCCACACCTCAAGCTCGTTACTCAGTCTGTGTTTACGTGAATCCAGTCCTTACAGCAACCTGGTAATATAGGGATGACTATTATAGACATTTTCGTTTATATTTATTTGTTTGTTTGTTTGTTTGTTTGTTTGTTTGTTTTGAGACAAGGTTTCTCTGTGTAGCCCTAGCTGTCCTGAAACTCACTCTGTAGACCAGGTCAGCCTCAAACTCAGAGATCCGCCTGCCTCTGCCTTCTGAGTGCTGGGATTAAAAGTGTACACCACCACTGCCTGGCCATTTTATTCTTTGTCTTTGGGATTTTGTTTTGTTTTGTTTTTTGAGACGGAGTCTTACTGTGTATCCCTGGTTGGCCTGGGGTTCACAGAGAACCATGTACCTCTCCTTCTCTAGTGCTGGAATTAACGGTAAGAACCACCACACACCTGGCAGGATTTTTTAAAGTATTTTTTTTTTTTTTTATTAATTGGGCAGTGGTAGTATATGCCTTTAATCCCAGCACTTGGGAGGTAGAGACAGGCCGATTACTGTGAGTTAAGAGAACAGCTCAGTCTACAAAGCAAGTTATAGGACAGCAAGGACCTTACATAGAGAAAACTTGTGTAGAAAAAGAAATATTTTTTATTACTTTTCTTTATTTTATTTTATTTTTTATTTTTTGTTTTTTGTTTTTTTGAGACAGGGGTTCTGTGTGTAGCTTTTTGCCTTTCCTGGAACCCAGGCTGGCCTTGAACTCACGGAGATCTGCCTGCCTCTGCCTCCTGAGTGCTGGGATTAAAGGTGTGCGCCACCACCGCCCGGCTTTTCTTTATTTTTTTAATGATTTATTTTGATTATATTTTAGTGTGTGTGAGTGTGAGCATGTGACTACAGAGGCCTGCAGAGGCCAGAGGTGTCTAATCCCCCTGGAGCTATCGTTACGGGCAGCCGTGAGCCACTTGGTGTGGGCACTGGGGATGAACTTGAGTCCTCTGCTCTGGTTGGGGTATGTGCACACGAATGCAGGTGGCCTCAAGAGTCCAAAGAGTGTATCAAATCC